TTTCGAAGTCCTCGCTTCTTCTGATTTAGGAGGTACATGCTGTCCGCATGGTGTGGTAAACAGCTGGTTTCGTATGCACAAGTTTTTACATGTTTCAAGTGCTCTTGCTTTTTGATTAACCAACTGTAACTTTTCGGGCGTTCTTGCTTCCACGATACCTTTTATACTCAAGCACTGATTAATTCTTTTGAGTTTCATCTTATGACAGGGGTTACTACTCAAGATTCCTCTTCGTCACTGCTTTCATATTCTCATGTAATATGCTGTTAAGTTTTGGCAGTTGAGGAATTCGCATAGATGGCTTTCATCCTGACATTTCATTTGTCCGGATGTTGGTTTCGCGCCCATTACTTATCGAAATTGCACCTTTTTTATTTTAATCCTGACTCATTTGTCTAACCTAAGGTCCATTCCAGCGTCATCCGCAAATCGTTTGCCTCAGAACAAGGTATTCAACCTTTTAATTTGATCCTGCAGCCTCTCGTTGTCCATATGTAAAAAGTATGATGATGTTTTACTTGTTCTGCAATAATGTCAATTTTACATATGCATCCTCATTATCTAGCGTATTACCTTTGTCATATTATGAAACCTCGGAAGCTGGCAGCGAAATCGGTGGTAACTAGCGTCATTGAGGGTGATGGCGGCATCAACAAGCATTCAACGACTGGCAATTGGCCTCACGCTGCCACATATTTTAGCTTTGTCGTGATGTGCATTTAACACAACCGTCATAATAGCAACTTACAACGTGAGTAGGAAGTAATCGTGATTCGTAGTGATTCGGCCTTTTTCCATAGACAGTATGCAATAAAAAAATACAACAATACATAAAATCCATTCAAACGATACAGAAAAATCTATTAGTCCCTAAATCAACTATTTTTGGCGACTCTCCTGAGTGTGGGAAGACCGATCTATCGGGATAGCAACAGAGATCACTGTTCTGAAAGTCGCCGTCTTCTTAATCCTGATGTACAGTCTCGAAACATCTACTTTTTAAAGCAATATGAAAAGGCGTTGGACACTTTCCAGCAGTGCTGCCTGTCTGTGGAGCATTCTGAAAATGTGATGGTTCCATCCAATGAAAAATAAAAATATGTTGGAGACGACCGCATTGAGAAACGCTGTCTGAAGAAATCCGAGAACAGCGTCTGTCGCGGTTTGACAGAACCATCCGGAACGAAAAGGGGGACTTTCCAAAACCATTCTCCTCTGTGAAGCAAAAAAATTACCGCTGGCGAGTTGGAGGTCAACGTCGCACCTTAAAGCAGTTTGAGAAGAAGAATCTGACCGTAGTAGCAGCAGCCATCATCCAGAAAATCGCTTAGAGAAGCAAAATAATCACACCATTAATTTGTATACTCTTTCCTTGACCCTGATACCCCAGATGATGATGACAACAACATCGTGGCATCAGCGACAAAGAAATTGACGTCTTAAATTGCTGGAAGAATGGTACACTTTGTGACACACAGGTCATACTGCATGTGAAACTCGAAGTTGAGTGAATTATTTAATTATTGCACAAATTAATTTGTGCAGTCGGTCTTTGACCTTTATACGTTAAATGACGACGATGACAATTACAGTATCAACGACTATTTTCTGTGTTGCCAACGAGCACAATCGAAAGAAAACCATGTGCTACACAGCTTCAAACTCGCTCTAATCTTCCTCAAGGACTCCTTACTTCGTCAGGTAAGGGTTATTTTGCACCTGAATGGTCCAGTTTCTATCGACGCACGATTTTTCGCTTCAACGTCTTCACGATCGAAATCAGAGGTCGTAAGGTCTACTACGACCTACTGATCTTAGCTGATGCGTTTGTTCAACCGAATGAGTGCAAATAATTCACTAGGCCTCCAGGGCTTGTAACTCTCGCAGCTTGAATGATCATTTACTCAGGTATATGACCATAAATTATAGCATCGGCTGCACCCTGTTTGGCGATTAAGCG